TAAGTTTTCCGCTTCCACTTATAGAACACACAAGTCAAACTGACTATCTTAAACTTGCCTAGTCAAACTCCATCATATAGACGAAATGAAGGGAGTATATTTTTTTCTAGTAGGGATGGAAAATGCAATGCCATCAGCAGTTCATGAAGTAACTGTTACATTAGAATTGAAAGTTATTAGGTATATTTAGTCCTAGTAACTGTCATCAAACAAAAGAAATCCACCAAGTTTTAAACAGTGAAACAAGTTTAGGGGAGAGAACAGTCTAGTGTCACTACCTGAAGCAATTTCTCTTCCAACTGCTTTCTCTTTGAAGATCTCACTCCTTCGTCAAAGAATGTTGCCTCTGCATCATATCTGAGAAGGAAAAAGATCTTATACTCTGCTACATGCTTATTATTGTCAATATGCATACAAGTTCGTAACATGTATATCAAGGAAGATTTAAGTATAGAATTATGCATATACGAAACATGATTCTGCACAATTCCAGAATGATGCACCGGTTCAACTTTGCTTGTAGCTTTAAATTGTCAGTCTATCCTTTGTACTAAACTCTCTTTCACCTTACAACTTCATGTGTTTTAAAAGTATTAGTAGGTATGCATCCAGGCTCTTTACATAGAACTATACCAGGCAAACCCAAAACTAAGATGTATCAATAACACAATACCATAGCCTTAGAACAGTTCAGTGATCAAACATAATTTTGTGGTTTGCTCCCACTGCAAGACTGCTCGAATGCATCCTTCTCAAGGGAAAGAAAGAGAACATTAAGAAACATCACCATATAGACATGCTTCCCTCAGACATAAATATACTCCTTCCGATCGTCATTTGGTATCTGAAACGTTGTACAACTACTTTGGTGTGTATGAGAAAGAATGAGAAAGGCAAGAAACTCATTTCGACGTATGAAAATATACATGCATAGAGTTATAAAGAACGCAAAATGAGATACTGTTCTTACTCAGATAAACAAGTGTTCAAAATTGAGCTAAGCTTCTTCCCAAAGCCCCCCACAGGATGAGATTGCACGGCCTCTTTTAATTGACACCACTCCTAAAACAAAAGATAAATCATTACATGTGAGTACCAATGTTCCAATTGATTATATGAAAAAGTACAATGTGCAATTCACTAAATATTTAATACAATTCAACTACCTCATTTTTCATGAAGGAGTCATATTTTTCATTGGAAATCTCATCACATCGCACTGTAGCTACCATAACCTGTATTTAGTTTAAATCAAGCACATCAACAAGGATATAATGATCAGCTGAAACTTCAATTAAGCAGATTCAGGGTACATAACCTTATGGGCAGGGAGGTCAAGGTCCCTATTCTCTTTTATAACCTCCCACATATGCTGTGCACTAAATGAAAAGCCTGAAGCAGGAACAACTCCCCGTCTATCTCCAGCAAGACCTCCAGGTGCAATAGAATGAAAGAATCGCTGTCTTAGACTAGCCACCTTTACAAGGATAACAAGGATAAACATAATCTAAATAACCCAAAAGCTCAAACAAAAAGAATTGGTAATCTGAATATGTCGGCAAACACTATATGCCCAACCAAACAGATTCAAAATAGAGGAATTAACTAATTTCCAGTAATTGATTTGTGTCTACCTGCTCTGTAAATTGCTCTTCCTTCTCTTCATAACTAGAAAGAGCAACAACCTCAACCTGGACATTCAATCAATTTCATTACATGCATATGCATAAGAGAAAATCACGCAACAAGAAATTTATGAGAGATCTAACTGAAGAGACTCACGTTAAAAAATTCACTTAAAGGTGTTTCCTCGTGAGCTTGCGGTTTTGGGACAGAATCCCATATCTACATCAAATATAAAGAAATAAGAATCAACACCTGAGTCAACAATAATTTGTATATTATGAAACATGGATATGATACCTTCTGAATATCTTCCCTTAAAACGGGCTCCAAATTTTCAAGGGGAGTCTACAAATACAATGGGAAAATCAACTAGATATACAATCTTTTCAACAATCAACAGATACAATCAATGTAGGAATATCTTCAACTGAAAAATCATACATGGGAGAAGAAGGAACCTACCCTTGTTTTATCACGTATAACAAACAGCAGAGTCGTTTTCCGAGGACTAAATAACCGCATCATAACCTGTTAAGGTTAATTGGTAAAACAGTTAATCCAAATATTCAGACAAGGTACCACCTTGTATATACCTGAAAAACAGTCTTCAAAAGAGGCTTATTTGCAGCTTGTTCACGGCCAATATCATGACACCACCTGAATTTGAAACTTATAAACAACTTGTCTATTTGGATATTCTTTTTTCATGTTTTAATTTATCGCTAGTGCATGTAATTCACACACTAAAAGAAAACTTACATATTGATTAGCACAATATCAGAAACAGCTAGCGCAAAGAGGGCACTTTGCTTCTCAAATGTAGTGTCATCCTATACAGAACATAAAGTCTGGATGAGATATAGAGAGAGCATTCGATGAGCATTGTTAGCAGGAAACTTGGTGGCTACAAGTCAACCACAGAAATTTGAAAATTTCAAATTTTAATATGGAGTAGCTAACAGTGGATGCATAGACTGTTTTAACACAGAAATGAGTACGTCGACAAAGAGATGAGGGAAGTCGAATTTAAAAGATCTCATAAACCAGCAAATCCATGGTAATTGTTCCATCAAAAACATCGTGTTGAAGAAGTTCTCAATTATCTCAGTGAAGCATTGTTGAATGCAGTAAAAAGGAAGACGTGAAGATTGTGGATACCAAATTGGAATAAATCACTTCATACTGGAAAATTAGTAGGACAAGGCAGCAAAAGGACAAACCTTTGTCCATATGAGGTGCAATAACTAATGATAATGTGGGCAAAAGGAATAAATCACATTAACTGTTGATACATATGATGTAATATATAAACAGTCATAGGAACTACATTGAAAGCCAAGCATGGGCAAAAAAGAATGTGGGAAAGTAAATCATCATCGAGAAAGTCAGTTAGACGAACCTCTCCACGCTCTCTCCCATCAGTGCCCTCTAAATCCATAACAAGGGTGCACGGCTCAATCCCAACACATCGACCCATCCAGATACCTTTTGTGGTTTGTGACCTGAAAAGAATATTGATAATGCTCACTTTTATAGGATACACAGAATTACTATGATAAGCTAAATGACAAGCCCATACCTTCCTTTATAAGCATCCATCTCTCTAAAGTTAGTACCAAATAGATGATTTAACAGTGTACTTTTCCCTGGAATGGTCTCATTCGAAGTTAGAGAGGGGAATGATAATCGAGTCAATTAAGAATATACACAAGATAAATTTACATTAGTAGATTACAAACTGGAAAATGGAAGTTAGCAATTGAGTTCATCTAGAAAGACCACATACCGCTACTTTGTGGACCCATTATGGATACTATAGCATATGAAAGACCACATTCAGCAAATTTAACTTCCTTTATGAAACTCTCAACTCCAGTAACATTGAAGACTCCATCCCCATCAATGAGGTGGGTGGAACAACATTCATCGGTTTTATCTGAAACCATATGTTATAAAGTCAGCAAGAACCCAACTTTTAAAGAGGCCTTAAATTGAATCAGCATCCAGTATTGCATGGAAACAAATAAAATCCACAATGCATCATTACTCTATATACTAGTAACATAGAAAAGAGAGAGAGTTCACATAGAAAAGAGAGAGAGTTCACAATTTCATCCTAAAACTGAAGGTACATCATATCAACCTATAAATAGGATTACAAAATTTGTACTTTTCTCTCTTAGTCCAAAATTATATAACATGTACATATTTATACCAATTACTAAAACTAAATCTTTTGGTATCAAAGTCCTCACTCCTCACATAACAATCCATATATTATCACCCCAAGGTAACTAATTCGCAAACCAAAGCATACCTTCCCATATCTATCAAAAATGAAAAACAATAACATATCCAGTATAACTTCACAAGTGAAGTATGGGAGGGTGTGGTGTATACACATAGCCTTACCTATTACCTTGTAACCGTTAGCTCAAGTAAAGCATAGCCAAAATCACGAAAAAAAGAAAAACATTTCCAAGAATTACTCACGCGTTAACTTATCTAAAGCATTAATCACTACATTCCCATGAGAACGAGATGCAACACATTTACATAAAAAGTAAATCTTCAAATCAAAGGGTAATTTCACAATTTCATACAGCCAATATATTCAATAGCTGAAGAAAACCCACCAAGTAAAGATCCATTAAAACATAAATATATGATCCAAAATACAAAAATCAAGACATAAAAATCCAATCTTTAAACTTCAGATTTCATATATGTAACAGAGCATGAATCGAAGGGGCATACCCATGTGTGAAAAAACAATCAGATTCAATGCTTGTCGATTACAAATTTATTTACAATAATGTAATGATTTGATCAAAACAAGTGTAACTGTGAACAAAAAAAAATCAATTGATTCAACGTTAAGCTACACAGAAAAATAGCGCTTTTTTCTGTGCAAACTTTTGAAAAGGTCGTACTCATGCATGGATCCCGCACCCACGTCGTCGTATCGAATGTCACACCTCATACAATAAGCTTAAAATTAGTATAATTTTTAAATTTTTATAATACTTACTTTTCATAAAATTTCGAAAAAATTGATTATATAATATGCAAATTCAAAGTATATGATGTTAGTCAAAAAAGAGATATATATTAAAAGTTTAAAAAAAATAAACTAGCTATTGTAAATGATATGTAAATATCTTCCGTCAATATTCCTAGAATATTGACGGTCAAACTAGAACATATAGAGTGAAAGACATGTATACACTCTAGTTTTTTAATTTGCATGGGACACCAACATTTCTAAAGTACGTCGGATGATATCTGCGTATCATTTACAAAGCATATAATTTTTGTAATAATATATTTGATGTCTCAATTCTTATATAAAACTATATAGTAAAAACAGGAAAAAAATGAGATTAATATCAAAAACGGTGAAGCATGGAATTTTGTATAAAGTTTTCTCTTAATTGAACTCTTTTGTCATTTTCAGCTGTGTGTGCAGAGAAGCATGGAATTACATATAGATCGACGAAAATTATGCTTCTTCTTCTTCTTCATCATCTCCTTTACGCAGTCCTTTTATCTTCCTGGTGTTGCTCCTCGAGATTTTCAAACTGTACACCACCCTTTTCCCTTCTTGATTTGTTATTGGGTATCCATTTTTGGATGATTGAGACATTTTTTTTTTATAGTTTTGGGTGTCCATTGATTTGTATCCATAATCATTTTTTTGAGTGATTGAGACATTTTTCGAAGTTTCGGTGTCAAGTAATTCATACCCATGATCAATTTTTTGAATGATTTTTTGAGGGCATTTTTCAGTTTTGGGTGTCAAGTAATGATAATCATTTCTTGAAAGAAAAAAAATCAGAGATTTTTCGATTTGGGGTGCCCACTAATGTCCTTCCATAATCATTTTCTTGAATAATTTGATTTTCACCAACTGTTGAATATGTGATTGCAAGTGGATGTGATTTTAGTAATGGGCGTGAATTCATATGGTGGCTTAATTGAGTGGTTGGTTGTAGTAAAGGATGTGATATTTTATATCCTATGTTGATACACTAATCCTAGGAAAATAAGTCACTTTTGATTAATTTTGCTGAAGTTGAGCTCAAGTTCCTCTGGATTTGCTTATATGATATTATCACAACTCTTTGTTACAGTGAAGGCAGTTTTTACCTGCTATACATATATATATATATATATATATATATATATATTTGTATCCTCTATATATAGACCGCGTAGAGATGGTTAATGTGTGTGCCCCTACTAAATGGCCTGCTTGAATGACTGTGTCATGGCAAATGTGTGATAAGATAAAAAAAAAAAAGGTGACTAGTTCAGTGTGAACTCAACGGAGAAATGTGGTATAATCTAAAGCTCTGAGATATCCTTCCCAAAGAGAAAGAGACCCTTTTGACCGTTTCTTTTTATTGAATCAGTTTCTTTTGAAGTCTTTATAAGTTTGTCTATAGAAAATCCCATTCAAGAAATATTTGTCATTGCAGTGAATTTATACTAGTTGTGGGGTAGAAACATCTGAGCGAAGATCACTCAAAAGATGCTATTTTTTGCTTTGTTTGGACTTTGGGTGTTGTTATATGTTATGTGATATGTGTTTATGATTTCTGTTTGATTCTTCCCACTTCTAGCGGAAAAGAACAAACGCTATGTAAAGGAACAACTCTTTGCTGCTTTCTCTGCTATGTATAATTGTGTAAAGAAGCTGTTCTTATCTATGTTCTTACAGGGTGATCCACTTAATATCAAAGTAAACAAGCTGTCATCTACAAAGACACAACTACCATATGACTATTACTTCTTGAAGTACTGCAAACCTACTGAAATTTTGAATAGTGCGGAGAATTTGGGGGAGGTTCTTCGAGGGGACCGAATAGAGAATTCAGTTTATACTGTAAGGATATGCTGTTTCCTTCTAGTTTGAAAATGACACTAAAAATGTTTGTTCATGTACTTACTAGTGAATTGGCTGAGTTGTATATGTTGTAAATTGATTCACAGTTTCAAATGAGACAAGAACAGCCATGTCAAGTGGTCTGTCGACAAAAACTTGTTGCTGAATATGCAAAGAACTTCAAGGAAAAGATTGATGATGAATACAGAGTCAATATGTACGATAAATGTAGTTTAATTTTTCTTTTGCAGTTCAGTCCCACCATGCTCATGTTTTTGCACCACCATAAAAAAATTAACTTTGATCATTCAAATAAATTATGCAGGATTCTGGATAACCTTCCTGTTGCTGTTCTTAGACAAAGGCGAGATGGGAGTCAGTCAACTACTTACGAGCATGGTTTCCGTGTTGGGTTCAAGGGAAATTATGCTGGGGTTAGTGCAATCACTGGACTAATATAGAATGATGACATAATACTTGCTAACTAATCTAACTGTTGATGCATTCACTTGCTTCTGCCAGAGTAAAGAGGGAAAGTATTTTATCAACAACCACTTAAGCTTTCGAGTCATGTATCAGAAGGATCTTGATACTGATACAGCTCGTATTGTTGGGTTTGAAGTCACTCCAAATAGGTTTAGATGCAAACCTGTTCCTTTCTGTTTGTATTCAAATTTTGTATTCTTGGGGAAGGTATAATTATTCCTGGATTTTCTTCTCTCACTTGATTTTTCTTGACAGCATTAAGCATGAGTACAAGGAATGGAATGACAAGAACCCTCAAGTGACGACGTGCAACCAGAATACAAGAAATTTAATTCTAGGTGGTGTTATACCCCAAGAAGTAGATACAGATAAGGAAATTGTATTTTCCTATGATGTTTCCTTCAAGGTATCTTCATATTGAACTGTTATATGTCTCCTACTTCAGGCACAAAACCATTATTTATCATTTGCTGATCTTTTATCTATTTTCTGCAGGAGAGTGAGATAAGGTGGGCTTCTCGTTGGGATACATACCTTCTCATGAATGATGATCAGATTCACTGGTTTTCCATCGTAAACTCTCTTATGATTGTCCTCTTCCTTTCTGGTATGGTTGCGATGATCATGATGAGAACTCTGTACCGAGATATTGCTAACTATAATCAACTAGAAACACAAGATGAAGCTCAGGAAGAAACAGGATGGAAACTTGTTCATGGAGATGTTTTCCGCCCTCCTATTAATTGTGGATTATTGTGTGTTTATGTTGGGACTGGTGTCCAGATATTTGCGATGACACTAGTGACAATGATGTTTGCTGTGCTGGGTTTCTTGTCGCCTTCTAACCGTGGTGGACTTATGACTGCCATGGTTCTGCTCTGGGTCTTCATGGGGTTGTTTGCTGGCTATTCTTCTGCACGTCTTCATCGAACATTCAGGGGAACACAGTGGAAGAGGATTGCCTTGAAAACTGCTTTTATGTTCCCTGGTATACTTTTTGCTGTCTTCTTTGTACTGAATGCTCTCATCTGGGGAGAGAAATCTTCCGGAGCAGTGCCTTTTGGGACTATGTTTGCTCTTGTGTGCTTATGGTTTGGTATCTCAGTGCCTTTAGTGTTTGTTGGCGGATACATGGGCAATAAAAAAGTGGTCACTGAAGAGCCGGTTAAGACAAACAAAATACCTAGACAAATACCGGAGCAACCATGGTACATAACACCTGCGTTTTCAATTCTTATCGGTGGTATTCTTCCATTTGGAGCTGTTTTCATTGAGTTGTTCTTCATTTTGACTTCCATATGGCTGAACCAGTTCTACTACATATTTGGCTTCCTTTTTATAGTCTTTCTGATCTTGATAATCACGTGTGCGGAGATAACAATAGTTCTCTGCTACTTCCAGTTGTGCAGTGAAGATTATTATTGGTGGTGGAGATCTTATCTGACTGCTGGATCCTCTGCATTGTACTTCTTTCTCTATTCTGTTTTCTATTTCTTCAGCAAGTTGGAAATCACAAAGCTGGTTTCAGGAATCTTGTATTTCGGTTACATGTTGATTGCCTCCTATGCCTTCTTTGTGCTAACGGGAACAATTGGTTTCTATGCTTGCTTCTGGTTTGTTCGGAGGATCTACTCCTCTGTGAAGATCGACTGATCAAGAGATTTTGAAATTTACGAAGGGGTCATGTTGATTGCATCGGTGTTATACTTGCTTGTGCTTTGTCCAAAAAAATATACTCCTTGGTGAAGATTGAGTACTGACCATATCTCATAGTATGTAGTGGTATAGTGAAAATGGTCTTACTTTTGATGACTTCGATATGTAGAAAGAGTTGCAAAGTTTTTTGTTTTCGTTTACTTCATAGGACAGACAAACAAAGGCTGAAATTTCCAGCCTTGTAGGCTTGATTTGTTTCTTTGTCACTCCAGTTTATTTTGTTGGTTACATTGTTGACACATTATTTGTAGCTTTTAGCAATACATCTGGTAGAATGTTACCAGAAATTTTGCCTACAGCAAGCTTGGAGCACAAGGCTATAATTGGTTCTGAACCCATATGTTTGGAATTTGAGACCTCTGGTGAAGCAATCCTACCACTGCATCACATGGTTAAAAGATCAAAAAGGTGAATTAATCTTGACAATCTTTACGAATTTATATCAAGTTTTATACCTTTTTATTTGACATGAATATTTTTCTTCTATTTAAATTGAAAAAAGCTATGTTCATCGTATAATTATGTTTAAATGAGTTATCAAAGTTTGATGAACCCATAGGAGGTGTTGAAAAATGACATGACATACCATTTTCAGACAAAACACTCTCATTGTGGGGGACACAGTACCAGACATGTCACCAAGGTGTCTTTCTTATAGGCATACTTTGGACAACTTGAATGGGCTGGGCGGAGCCACCTTAGTCTAAGGGTGTGAGCTAGTGCACACTCGAAGGGTGTGCACCTTCGTTAGAAAATTATGAGACATACAGATATTGAATGTATATTTAATTTTGAACGTCCTTAATATTTATGCTATATTTCTTTCTGAATGTGCTTTACACAGCATTTTCATATTTAGTTTGTTCACTTACATAGCTGTCAAGAAACAAAACTTTTGACAGACATGTTGAAACATCAAAATATCTTGACAGACAACACATTCTAAGGAACAAAAAGTGAAAACATAGTAATTGAAAGAGCTTGATGGTGTACTGCAACATAGTAAAATGCATTTTTCAATGTGCAAAGCAATGAATTATTGCTTGCTTACTTACATTATGATTGTATAATGTAGAACATCATGAAAGCAAAATGCTTTTCAAGTCTCTCTCACCCTAACACAAACAAAATTTGCACATCGATTCATCAAGAATCATATCTGTATGTGTAATTAGACGAAACCTTACATGTACAGAATCTTTCGTCAATCATCTTCATAATCAGGTGAGCTTTGATCAAAGAGGTGTGTTGCTTAACTGTACAACTTCAACCCCAGCAAAGCCAAAAAATGGTAGTGTGGGTTAATGGATGTCTAGTAGCTCGTTTGAAAAATGTTTATATGAGTGGTTCAAGTATTTTTTCACTTGTATACTCAGAATCATCAACTACAAATGGCTTCCACTGAGAGTTTCTTTAGAACGTTTCGACATGGATCACCTCCAAAATTCTCTGGTGTTACCTGTACTGAGCAAGACTCTTTCCCAACACAATTCTGCAAGTATAGTAATAATAACCAATTTAAGATGCAAATAAATCAGTCTAGTCTAGTTCAGAGATCGTTAGGAAAAGACACGGATCAATACCAATCAGTTTCTCATGTCAACTCATCAAATTATGATTCATAAATACCTTTTTGAAAGCATCATATGAGCGCGGAGCATGGCAGCTTCCCTGCTGGAAGTTCCCACAAACTCCCTCTGGTGTTCCAAAGCTTGCAAATTTGATTGAAGAAATCTTCTGACCAGGTGCACACTTAAGATGGGCTTTAGGTCTGAGAGGTCTGTCAAACTTACCAGATACTAGCCTCTGCCAATTCAATAACTGTGGTTGCCACTCATATATATCAGCACAAACACTCCCTATTTCTCTTTTGACTAAAGTGATTCCATAAGGATCTCCTCCCCATTCCTCGAATACAACTAACAAATTTCCAGTAGGATACAGCCAAGACCGGGGTACGTGGTACCTGAATTTATGAGTCTCAGTTAAGTTGGAGCTTCGTGTTACTGTTACATCAGAGTAAAATTCAGTAAGTTTTGTCATTACTTACCATCTTTGTGAGCCCTCACCACAGTTAGTTAGGCACTTTTTCTCATCAAACCAGCCAGTATAGTTACAGACACTACAACTTCCAGATGATTTATATGCAGGCCAGTGGCGTCCGAGGCTCTGACCATTTATCCATACTTGACCTTTGCCCATGGTATTCATATCTAAAGCCAAAGGTTCATTTCCATCTGGAGCATTGAATGTAGTCTGTAAACACAGAAAAGGGATTTAGTAGGCTTCTGAAGGAAAAGAAATTTGAATTCTTGATATGATCCATGTTGCTGTAAATGGCTCCGTAAAGCGTAATCCTTTTAAGTAATATTACTTTCTTATTGAAGGATAACTTTTACTTTTAATAACTAAAAAGGTGAGAAGACATGAGTTATGCACCTTATACCAACTGAGTGGCTGCTTCTGAGCCACTAAAGAGCCTTCCACCCACTCCACGGATGGGCTACCACTGAGTGAATGAAGACTCAGGGCTTCTCCTTTTAGACCAACCTGGTGAAACAAATAAAAAGTCAGGTAGAGAGGCATTATAAGCAAACAATTCTAAAAAGACAAACCTTGTAGAACCATTTCTGCCATGTTAAATCTCTTGTTCCTTCATTAAGTCCATTAAGTGAAACTGGTCCAAGAACACCAGCATTCCATGTCTCAAAATGAGGGCCAACGTTCTACATTCAAACACATGTAAAAGCAAGACATGTGATGAGCATATTTTGGAAATGCTGAAGTATAACTCTCAAAATCAGTTTCACTTTAGTGCAACGCATAGAACGAAGCAACTGCCATGAGGCGATAACCAGGCATATGTATGATCGTATGCACGTGCAATAGAGAAAGAGAGGGTGGGGAGAGAGGGGCATACCGGAAGACCAACAGCAATGCTTAGCAGAGAAATCTTGTTCACACCAGCTCTCAGATTTATACCGTTGCTGAAAGTTAGTTTTGGGTTTTCTAAACTTCCGTACACAGTTCCTGCAAAAAGTTTGGATGAACGGAAACGTTAAATAACAACGTGCTGCTTGACTGGGACATCAATTTTTCGTCTTGCACCATTCGGGACATAATTGCAACCAATCAAAAGCCTGAACCTCCGATATAAAACAGCAAAACAAAAAGAGACTCAAACCACAGTTGTATGTAACAAAAGACATCAGACCTGCTAATTGACCATTCACGAATACATGCAATGCATGGCCAGCAGAGAAGACAGTAAGCCAAGGCCAATTTCCACTATTCAAAAATCCTTCTGTTGGATCAATCTCAATGCTGCGGGTAAACATTATAATTATAAACATGTGAGCAATCTAAAGTAGTTCAAGTGTAATTAACTTCCTTATTTTGTTTGTGAAAGTGATACCAGAAGCTACTGAAGCACTTACTCAGTCATATACCACAAGTAATCAGATACATCTCTTGTGATATTAATCTGCTCCAATAACCCAACAACTGTGAAAGTGTCGTCTTCATGCGATGCTGCGTCTTCATTGAATGACTCCCATGAGAATCCTCTACTGACTGGAGTCATCTTCATCTGAGCACTTTGAGCACCAACCTTTACATTGAATTAAGACTGTGCTGTCAGTTTTCTGGCTGTGCAGTTACGTATAAGGCATTCTCTCAAGAAAGTAAAATATAAGAAAAATGTGAGATATCAACACATGTACTTCAGGAGAAGAGTTTTTTTCTCACCCTTGCAGTATTATAGACAGTGTTCTTGCAGTCGGGAAGAATGCTGATAGACCAGGGTGGCAAGTTATAATGCATGTTCCCAAATGCCACTTTAGCAAAAGAGTGCTGGTTGTAATTTGCTAGGAAGGCAGCGCAGGCCCCAGACTCTGACTTGAAAACACGTGCCTGTAAGAGAAATGAAAGTTTGTTTTCCCCTCAATTCTGGTAATGATGATATAAACGTTTCAGAGGAACCCAAATAAATGTCACCTCTTGATAGTTTCCTAAGGATGTCACAGTTGGATCTACAGATACTAAAGCTGGCTCACAGAGCTTTATTGCTCTATGTAGATCTTTCAGATGACCCCATTTAGGCTGCCGTAATGACCCTGAAGATCAAAGGGAAAAAAGATCACTTAGGCAAAACGATTATTTCCACTTCAGTTACTCTTCTTTTTCATCTTTTACATCTTCTTCCTAGTTCTAATCATCGACTTGATTGTAAAGAAACCTCAAAAAAATTTCTCAATAGCAGTAGACTAACTGAACAACAACATAGTATGACGTAACTTTTTATCAACAATAGATTGACTGAGAAACATAATTTCATTTATGATGAAGAACAGGACTTCCAAGTAATTAATTTAATGGAACTGCTAGCATCAGTAAAGCTACCAAAAGTGGTTGAACTTATTCTATCAAACTTGGAATTCATCAAGTTTTAGGAGAAGCAGAAGACATTGCTCTAAATGCAGATTGCAAGCCTAGTACAACAGGTACATGGCCTTCTGAACTAGAATGACTTGAATAAGTGATCAAAGCATTCAGTCCAATATACAGCAATGATTGTTTTCGAGCAAGTAAAGGTGTACAACATGGAAAACTAATATTACATCCAAACAGAAGCACACATAATTTGGTCAAGGAATCAGAAATGGAAGCGCTGACCCTCACGCATGAGTGAAAAAACTTATGGAAAGCAGTGTACTAATATAAATAGGAATAACAGGAAAAGAAAAAAGAGTTCACAGGAAAAAAAAATCTCTTTTCCTTAAACAAATGGTAAGGAAAAAAACAGGAAATAGAATTTTGATCCATAACCATCACATTACATTAAAATGTTACAATTCAAACATAGATTTAAAGAAAGAACGTACCAAATTCATCTAGGGGTGCATCATAATCATAACTAGTAGCAATAAATGGGCCACCAGAAGTCCTTCCAAAGTTTGTTCCTCCATGATACTGTCCAAAAAAAAGGGGAACAAACAAGAATTGTAGGAAAATGTATATTTCTTGGATTCAGAAGAAACATACTTCTAAATGTCAAAGACCAATGAATTACCATATAGTAATTGATGAAGGAGCCTCCCGTTTGTATAAATCTTGCGACAGCAAATGCCATATCCTCTGCAGGACGGTAAGGAACTGGACCTCCAAATTCGGTAAACCTGCCAGCATGATCAAAACAGAAAATCATCCCATCATGAACTCTAGCAAAGATGTAAATAAGATATTATCAGCTATTGCTTATGAGAGATGAAAATGCAGTTTACCAGGCTGTCCAGGCTTCAGTCCACATCTTGGGTTTATTAGCCTTATTTGGTGTGAAGTAGTCACAGTAGAAACCATTGCAAGTATTAATCTGAGCAGGGAAAAGAGATACATTAAGGTAAAATATCCTAAATACCCGAGAAAAATTGTTTTAGGAAATAGGAACAGAAGACATGCTAATACTAGTTATTTTTCCAGGATGTTTTAAAATATTAGTAAAAGTAGCTATTCAAACGGGAAAGTACAGCATCTCTTTGATTGTGGTTTGATTTAGACAGGTAAAGAATGTTCTTTTGCAAAACACTAAGGGGTCGTTTAGCAGGGTGTATAAGAATAGTGTTGAAGAGGATGTACTAGCAACACCAGCATTACTAGTAATAGCTATGCCAAGATTATTTCTTATACATTGTCTAGTTTGTTGTATTAAAAATAACATGCATGGTATAATTTCCAAAAGAAAAGATATTTGATATAAAATTACCCTCCACAAATACAGTGGAAAGGATGTGAAAATGGTTTTGAGGGCAATTGAATCTTTAACCATGCTAATACATACAATTAAAACCCTTGCATTGCTAATACATGGTTTGCCATGTATTAATTATACATTGCATAATACCAAATAGAGTGTATACATTACTTATAAATAGGTTGAAAATTTTTACCAAACAAGGTAATACACAAAATTAATGAATGCATTATTTTTTCGAATGCATCCTAGCAAATGACCCCTAAGAAACAAACATATTCACAAGTGTGTGATTACAAGAGTCAAAGGTCACTGAATATTTTTTTAAGAGACAAGAAAACAGA